TTTACCAAACTTGCTCTAACTAAACGAGATAATACTGCTGCCCTTGCCTGCGACACATTCTTAATTTGTATTTCATACCTTTACATGATGACAGACACTGAAAAGTAACACAACACTTTCACTGTACCTCATCATGCCATCACGCCTTCTTTTTCGATTCTTGTCTTGTTGTCTTCTCTTTTCAGCCTTCACTTTAGTACAACTACTAATACCGCTTTCTTTTGTCTTTTCTCTTCCCTCTCTTCCAATCGACCCCACAGGAAAGATCCCCGTAAATGATGGTAGGACTGGCCTTCTAAACGAGCCTGCACGTAAGTTTTTTTTTGTTTTCAGCACCCGAGCTTCAAACACTTAAACTAACACTGCTTTACTTTACTTTACTATGCACAGATATGCTAGGTGACTCATCGAACTAACCATCCTTCTTCTTCTTTCTAACTTGCTTCCCCACTTGTTCAACAAAACACACAACCACTCTGTTCCAGACCCGTACAGCCACCACGAGGCTGCCTACGCGCCAAATCGTCACCCGGCTTCCTATGCCATGGCTGAGTCCTACATTCAGCCGGGAGATGCGTAAGTCTTCAAGTGTTTTTTTGACTGGAAAAAACCCCTTCTATTAACCTTATCCATCTAAACCAGTTACGGACGTGGAGACGGCCGCGGACAGGGCGTTCTGGGAAGTATTTCAAACTCAGGCTATGCCGGTCAGACACCGCTTATTCAAGGTACTCCCGTATCACAGGCTGGTGGACCTCAGCAGGGCGCTGTTCTGATGGTCTACGGTCTGAATCACACCGTCATGAACTGCGAGAAGCTCTTCAACCTGCTCTGCCAGTACGGCAACGTCGTTCGGGTAAGTGGTGGGCTGTGTGTTTTTGGGGTGTAAACTCTTCTAGGTACTCTACTAATGACCTGTTCTAAATTCACTCAGGTCAAGTTTCTGAAGAGCAAGGAGGGCTGCGCCATGGTGCAGATGGGCGACTCGGCGTCGGTGGAGCGGGCCATTGCCTCCCTGAACAAGGTCTCCTTCTTCGGGCACGAGATGCAGCTGGGCTTCTCCAAGCAGGCATTCCTCAACGACGTCAAGCAGCCCTTTGACCTGCCCGACGGCAGCTGCTCCTTCAAGGACTACATGGGCAATCGCAACAATCGCTTCACCAATCCGGAATCGGCGCTGAAGAACCGCATCTCCCACCCGGCGGACGTGCTGCACTTCTTCAACGCCCCCTACGGCATTCAGGAGCAGGACATTATTAACATTTTCGACGAGTACTGTCCGAACAACAAGCCCGTTAGTGTCAAGTTCTTCCAGTCGAAAAGTAAGAACTTCGGTAAATCAAACTCGTCGCACCCTTTTCCCCGCCTGTCTCAAGTCACCTTAACTGTTTCCATTGCCCTTTTCCTTCTCTCCCTTTCTTTCCCTTTTCCCCAAATCCTTCTCTAGCCGAGCGGAGCTCCTCGGGACTGATTCAGTTTGAGTCGATCTCAAGCGCCACGGAGGCGCTGGTCATCTGCAACCACGTGTCGATTCCCAATCCAAGTAAGACCTCACGTTCAGTTTTATGTATTCCACACCTTCTAACTTCTCTCCTTTCAGACGGCAAATTCCCGTACGTTTTGAAGCTGTGCTTCTCTCTGTCGGCGTCCCG